CGTTCCGCCCGACATCGTCCCCTCCGAACTTTCAGCTGAGCCAACGTGGAATGAACGAGTCGCCCTGCTGCACTGTACATCGGCCAGTGTAACTTGCGGCTGGTCCCCTTTGGGGGCATGCCGCAGGTTAAAAAGCATGTTTGCCTGCACAACTACCTTGACAGACAGTGCTGGCTGGCCGAAAGGCCTTCAAAAGCTTCCTCCCTAGTCCTACAATTTCGGTAAGTTCATGTAAGCTCAACCCCAGTCTGACTGGAGATATTCAAAGCACACAGAGATCAGCCCACCAAAGCTGAGTTTGGAGCCATATCGTGAGTGGAGCCTTTCATCGTTTGGCCACTAGAAGGTGGAGCCTTTCTAGCTGCGGTTCCGCGACCCATCCATCATCTAAGTCTAAGCATTGCGGTATCTACATGTATCATCATGTATCTACCCTACATGTGGCATGCATCGGTTACCATAAAATCTGGCAGTTGAAACCGAAAAACACTCCGAAGCTTTGGCAGGCAAAGGCATTCGGAACCCTGTGGTCCGTATTTGCACATGGATGTCAAATTTCTTTTGACTTGGGGCAGGTCCCTGGTCTCAAAAAGGGGGGCTCCAGGCGCAAGTTCTGCTAAGTTCCGGATGATCAAAAGATCAACCCTTTAGGCACTCCAGAAGAACCAGTGTCTCCGTTGGTTCGCCCCACAGCCAAACCAGAGACCCACCCAGAATCAGAATACCATGGCTATTTAGGATCCTTCGGAAGACATTCCGGCTCAGGCTCTGGACTGTGATGCGGGCTGGCATGGGGGCTATGTGCAAAGGTCGTCAGGACGCCTTTCATGTCCTTTCCAGGCGCCTGGCACAAGCTGCGGACATAGCTTCGGAGGTCCTGGGCAGGAATTCAAAAACGCAATGCAAGAGCAGGTGTTCATGAATCCCCTGCCTGAGGAACTCTCACTTCAAAAGCCTTCTAAAACCTTTTGAACACTTTCCCACCATTCCCCGCACAAAAAGTGCACGGGGGTATCAGCACTCATCGAAGCCATCCTCATCCAAACTGGCGAAAGATATTCAAACCAAACGTTTGTTTTGTCGGCTTCCATCCGCCCAGATCGTTGGGTGTCATGCATTGTTCTTCTTCATTCCAACAAGCCATCAGAACCCCCTGCAAGATCGGCAGGAGGGTCACTTGCGCATCGCAAAATGGGTCACTTGCGCATCGGGGGTCACTTGCGTATCGGAGGGTCACTTACGCATCGACCCAGTGGGTCACTTGCGCATCGATGGGAAATGATGGTGTGTGAATTGTCAATGATTTCAACCAGATTCGTCTCACTTGCGCATCACGGAGCTCTAAACTGCTGTAAGGGTTGCCAAATGACTCAACCACCCGAGTTCCGCGTCCACAGCCATGCTCACTTACGCACCACGGAGCTGCTGATCACATCTTACATTCTTGTGGGGTGGGGTGGGGTGGGGGGGTGGGGGGGATCTAATGGAATGATTGGCCCGCGCGGCCACATCATCACATCTTACATCCGGGTGAGGCGCACAGTGGTAGTGGTCGTGGTGGTGGTGGTAGTGGCAGTGGTAGTACAAGTAGCAGTGGCAGTAGTAGTAGTAGTAGTAGTGGTAGTGGTAGTGGTAGTGGCAGTGGTAGTGGCAGTGGCAGTGGCAGTGGTAGTGGTGGTAGTAGTAGTAGTAGTCGTCGTCGTCGTAGTAGTAGTAGTAAACGCGACGCACAAGCGACCCAAAACGCGACGCACAAGCGCCCCAAAACGCGCTACACAAGCGACCCCCCGCTGCAAGATCTGTCCTTATCACTGAGGGCGGCATCGTTCTTTCGCCGGCATTTGTCGAAGAGCTGTTCTGCTTGGCTTTTGGTCAAATGGCCGGCCAGAACCAATTCACTGATGGTCAGGTCGCCACTGCTGTCGATGTCTATGTTTGCAAACCTGGGCGGCAACAGAACTCTTGCGCAAAAACCTGGGGATTGGCACTGGCAACGGCTTGAAAAGGGCTGTGTCAGTTTAGACGCTGGTTGCAAAGGAGGGTTGCAGTTCTGATTGTAACCATACTCCACGAGTATTGAGCCTGTGCTGAATTGCAAACTGGGATAATTCGATGAGATAATGCGAAAACAGTTCGGACATGAACTGTTTTGGTCTAAGGAGCCATGCCTCTTCCTCTCCACATCAGGAGCACCAACTCAACAAACGGCGAACTGACCGAGCAGCACCGCTCTGTAAAGAAGAACCGTCTTCCACCGATGTTCAACGGGTTCCGTTGCTGCTCCTTCTTGTGACGGCGAATGTTGTGATGCCAACAAATGAGTTCGCAGCGGAAAACCGATCATTCCTGCTACAGTATATCAAGCAGATCCAAGAAATCTGACACAGACCTCTATAACCACCAAGATCTCCTTATAGAGTAGATACATTACCAGGAGGACACTCTTGTCGGCACAAAATATGATTGTCCTCCCTTGGGCGACAGGCATGGCACATCTTTGGCCGTTTCTTGGACCTGCGCGGAACACTGGAAACACCGCCCTGCCCCTGCCCGGCCCTGCCCCCTCTTTTGTTCGGGGAAGCAGGACGTCAATCTCGTCATCGCTCACTAACACGGCTTCGGTCGACAGGAGGTCTTTCAACACTTCTGCGGCTCGGAAAGCCTGCGTCTCGTGAAGCGGAACGCTGAGGTTCGGTTGGGTCGAGAAGTTGGAAAGACCCAATGACCCCGGTCCGATGACCCCGGTCCCTCCCAAAGCAAAGGATGTACATTACATATCGGTGTATAGATTCATTGGTGCGTGATGGCAAACTCATGTATATATAACCATACTTATTACAACTTTAAATATAACCCATGCTTTGCAGTGGACACTCCTAGCTTAGCTGAGAGCGAGTTCCAAGCTATTCTTGGGCTGTCTTTCCGAGAAGGGTTCCAAGGTTGGAGGGCTTACTGTAGGGGTCCTAAGCCTCAAAAAGCCTCTCGAAAATGACAGTGGTGTGCGGTGTGCGCCAAGCAACTTGAATTGCCGGTTTCGTGCATGTATATATATATATATATAACTGTCCGTGAAACCCATGTTCTATCGGGCCATCAGCACCAGGAGCCACCTGCTTCACACTCACACGATGGAAACTGAATGAACATGATCTCTTCCCAACCGGCTTTCAAGTGCAACGACTGTGCCAACTCCGTTCCTTTTGGCCGCACCCATCGTGCGATTCCACCGCGAATCGATCCTCCACCCGTGCGACCGCCTTGCCCCAAGCGAGGATGCATTCGATATTCGTCGGGGTGAGCGACCAGAAACCTGAGGAGAGCGACCCTGAAAACCGTTAAAAAAAAAAAAAAACGCCCTTTCGGTGAGTCACCCGGTCGGAAACATCTGGTGCCTTCAAGCTGTTTGAAAATAGGATTTCAACGGGAACAAATAATAACAAATAAACATAAAAACGTCTGAACTCCCTGGTCGCAAAATGTTGCAACCCTGAAACATCCTAAAATATGTATACAAAGGAGGTCTTCTTCCAACCTGAGCCAATCCTGTTTGGCAGAATGTCCGTCTGGCCCATCATAAATGCTTCACTCAGAATGCTGCATGCCTCTTCAAAATCCAATGGAAAAGAGCATTTGCATGGTTCCAAGTGGCGCGGGGGCTTTCTCAGCAGGTCAGTGCCTGGAGAACACCTCTAGAGGCCAATTTGGCAGGATATAGAGCAAAAGAAAGCATTCCAAAAATCAATTAGGAAAAGTGTTGCTTGTGCGCCAGTGCACCCGGCGAGACTCCTCCGTTTTGCCTTTTGGCAAGGTCTCATTGTCCTGATCTCGCATTGACCACTACCCAACGTCACCCGCAAATCTGCCTCAACCTTCGTTGACAGTGCCTGCCTTTTGAGCTTCAGGCCGACCGTCCCTCGTGCTCCTGCCCTCGTCAAGTGGCTTAGACATAGGAACGCCCTCAAGCTGAGCGGACTGGGCTGAAGCCATTCCAGCCGGTGACGGACCTGCCAACGGCTCAGTCATCTCAAGTCCTATAAAATGAAGCTATGGGCAGGCCGGTCTGGGCACCATCTTCAATTCAACATCGACCCATACAAACATCTCTCCGCTTGCTTTGATTGGATGTCCACCTTCGTGAACATCAAAGATCTTCTGCGATCTACTCGACTGACTCTACTACTTCAGTCTCCTCACTTCCAACATGCGTTTGTCAGCGCCGGATCAACCTGTGAGGCGAAAAAAGCCCTGCTTTTTGGCGATTTCGATGACCAGTCAGCAGATGTCCGCAGCGAAGCCCCCCTCATTTATGGCTTTCTGGGGTTCACCATGGTTCACCCAAATCAAGTTTTTCGATGCCCATACACTCCATGTCTGGAATATTTAAATATATCACTATATCACTGGGATGGTTTCAGGGGTGAATGCAGGTAAACATGCAAGTCCCATGGAGTGTCTGGGATGAAAACTTCAAAACGTCCGCCTTTCTGCACCGAAACATGGGTCTGGATAAGAAAAGATCTGATCGGATGACCATCTGCAAGATCTGCAACTGTTTGAGGCATTTGGGGACGCTTGCGAAGGACCAAAGGTGGTCTTTTTGCGAGGCCAGGCCGTAGTGTATCCACATCGATGGTCACACTGATGGTCACGAGTCACGACATCGATGTCAACGAAGCTGATCGTGATCTCATGACGTTCGATGATGCGAAATGGATCCGCGAAGCCATGTTGGCCTTGCTAATGTCATCCGTTTCGCGAACGTGTCACCTGCCCAAAGGGCCCTGGAATGGGCCTTTGGATGCCTGGAATGGGGCTTTCGCACAGGCGAAATGCCGTGGGTCTTGTTCAAGCCTGACACTGTAGTGAATTGATTGTGCAACTGGTGGAACATGGAGAAAAAAAATATATAATTATGAATATTTACATTTTACTATTTAGTTAAACTAAGACGTATTGCTTCCAGTGCGGAAATGGTACCTGAAGGTCCTCGCTCGCCAATTTCACCACATCACCACCAAGACGTTGCCCATTCCCGCCTGCGGATCCAGCAGAATCCGCTGGAAATGCGCCGACAAGGCCTCCACTTCGGCCAACAAGTCGGTGTGTGCTAATGTGGCTGGCATGCTGACCTCCACGGTTGAGGCCACCTCCGTCTTTGGGGTGTCCTCGGTGTGCGACATGGTGTCAGATGGGAGGCCTCAAGGGCCCTATGAATATGGATGGGACAGTGCATGAGAACCCACGAAAATCCCTCCGCTCAATCTTCCACGCTTTCTTTGGTTGGGCCCTGGGCTTGCCCGCATGCAGAACAAACAAATCATCACAAATCTTATAGGGCCAGCTCCGTGAACCTGCTCGTAGAAAGGACTGCATTCACATAAACCCGGAACATTGGCCCTCTCAAGACTCAACACGATGTCTATGCTGATGTCAAGAAACATCAGGATAAAAGTCATGTCGTCTGCCCAAGTGTCTGAATCCTTTGCATCATCATTCTGCAGCAATTCCTCCGATTTGGCCACCCCTGCAATGATCAGAAATTCTTTCTTCACCGCGATCTGATCCTTCAGGAAGTCGAGGACCACATCGAGGTCGGCACAAGAGTTGTGCTTACTCCTGAGGGAGGGAAGTGATCGAACGGTTCGCGTGGCTTAGAGCATGGCCATGCAGAGGGAGTGCCTGCGTGCAAAGCTGTTGAAGTGTGTTGAGCAGAACAACCATGAACAACCTTTGATTGCCAGAAGCACTATCAATCAGGCAAGTGGACAGGCGGAGTTAAACACCGCTGATCTTTCAGGCAACCCTTTCCAAGGATGGGAAATATGTCCACACAGGCCAAACGGTGTGTCAAGATTTTCAACTTGTTGGGAGTTGGGAGCACGCAGTGCATTACTTCATGTCTGCATTGATGTGGATTGACGTGTCGTCAATTGCCTCCAAGACATGTATATACTGCACGTGGTTTTGCAATGACATGTGATGAAATATAATTACAGTCATGGTATGTGCATATATGCGCGTCTGTAATATGATTTACGCGATGTAGACGTCTTACCCTCTCTGCAACAAACATGCAAGCGAACAACCCCCTGTTTGTAAAGGAGCGCTCTTTGAGGCATGTTTTTTCCTTCGTCCGTTAAAGTCCTTGTTGACGTTCTTGGAAGTTGCAGCTGTTCAGTTCACTGGTGCTCTGGTTGGCACATACAACATCAAACAACAGAGAGCAACTGAGTGACGAAACATAAAACTTCACCTATGGTAGCACACATGTGCCACCCTTTTTCCATCAACCTGACGACCGGGCAGGTCACGAGTTTGGACCCCAGAAGCAGCGATCCGTCGCTCCGTCCAAAATGGGTCTAACAGTCTAACTACACCGACGCAGACGTGTCCATCCTCGTGTCGATCCTCAGACGCGCCCGAAGACTCGGACGACCAAAGGCGGTGACACGAAGACCGCGGTGAACTGCACGAAACCATTTCTTCTTCGGCGTGTAGCTCTCCCTGGAACTAACATGGAAGTGGATGGCACCACCTGTTTGTAGTGGATTTCATGGTCTTCCTTTCGGGTCCATTCTCCTCGTAACCATGTTGGTTCCAGGGAGTGTACATGTGCATCACGGCGAAAGGAACCGTCGAGTCAAGGTCGCTTCCCAGTGGAGCGACCTCGACTCGTCGGCTCAAGAATGGCTGCAAGACAAAGACAAACATCTTCGGCTCAAGCGTGGCCTGGTCGGTGCTCCGTGCGGAGCTAAAACATGCCAAGTGTCAAATGGTGGAAGAACTTCCACAACATCCAGGCTTGTGCTTTTGACACATCTGGCGGCTGCGACCAGACCTGATTTTCGCAGGACACCGAACCCGGTGGTGACCATGTTGAGACCTCCCCAGCTCAGCGGCTCGGCCAATGCGTCTCGGACCGTTAACGCACCCAACGCACCGAGAGTGGCAGTTCGTTCCGCCCTCTCAGCGCGGCCGAAACATGCCAAAACGGCCGAAGAAGCCGTTCATTTGAGCCTGGAAGCGTTTCTGACACCTTCCGGGCCCATTCCGGGCTCCGCATCTGGGTCTCCCTGCCCGTGCTGGTCGAAGCGAGCTAGATCTTTTCCTGCATCCCCAGAACATCTCTGGGCAGAGTGAGAGACCTACCTTTTGGATCACTGACTCGCAACGAACCATCCTCATGGCGTTTGACGCCTGTGATGGTTGATTCTGCTCAGCGAAGTCTCCCAAGTTCAGGGTGGGTGATGGTCCATTCTGATAAAGCCTTAAGCCTCTCCCCTAAGCTCCACAGAACACGGGGCTTCTGGTGAAGTTGACCTTTTGATGGATGAAAAGAACTGCAGGTGGAAACATGTGTCTTAAGACTTGTCTTAAGGCAACTCTGAGCCAAAGGAAGGAAAAGAAGAGGTGGAACACTGGAAAATCAAGTTCTTCAGCACGTCCCTCAACGACATACACCACTTGGCGTTTGAGCCCAACATTGGCCACCTGTCATCTGCCATCCCTTTTTCGTCACCAGTCCTACCCGTCAACTTGGCGTAGGCGACGCTCCCACACCACGTGCCTGAGGCGACGCGGTCGTTCACCGCGCCCGCTCCCACTTGAAAGGTTCAACTGAACCGAGCCATCAAGCTCGGCAGCTGTGTTTAAACTCCATCCATCATGTCATGGAAGATACGGAAATCAAAAAGGAGAGACATGGAGAGACTGGGAAGTGCAGTAACCCTGGTGGTCTTGAATAACTCATGCTTGGCGAGCGTCTGGGAACTCAAACCCTTTCAGAAACAGAAAGTTCCTTCCCGTCTTTTCCGCATCCGAGATGCATGATACATCCTTTGCACTTCGGCCCCTTCTGGCGCAAACATCCTCCAACATCCCCAAAACGCGCACCGGACCCCGTCCCACAAGAACACCTCCTGGTTCCGGTGTCTCAGCGCCTTGTCCGTCGGCCTTGACGGGGCGGACCATGCCCCCCGTGTGCCGCCTCCGCGGCGCACGCGCGGAGAGCGGCGCGTCGTCTGGCACCTGCAGGGAGTGGCGCTTGAGGCTGCCCTCCTGGCGAGCACGACCGAGGTGGCGAGGACCGGGAAAGGCGTGTTGTGCACATAGTTTTGAAAGTCGGGCACCTTCTGCTACCACTTCTGACACCCAGTTTGGCGGAAGATCCGGCACTTGGCCACTTGGATTTCCAGATCAGTGAAAGTCTTCTATGCAAGGCACCCCGTAGAGTCAGAGTCGCCTTTGTAAAGTTTGTCAAAAATGGTCTCAAATTGTATTACTGCAGATGCCTGCTGGTGCCTGCACAGAGAACCGAGCTGCCTTGATCGTCCGAGATGATCAAATTGCCACGAGGGACCGCTGGCGAGTCACGAGATGGGCGAGTCATAACCAGCCAACTTCCCCACACCTTCCCACCCCCCAAGAATCCTGGGATCACCAACACATCGGAGTTGCCCTCCGCCCCCCTCCGCCCTTCCTGGGCCCACCCCCTCCGTGTGCAAGGAGTTCCGCTTCCGCATGGCGTCGATCGGCTCGGAGGGCCGCTTCTGCATCGCCGGCTCTGACTCCCGAGACTCCGGCCGCGCGTCGGGCGACGCGGCGGCGTCCGCCCGGGCTCCTAGGCTCCGGCGCAGGGCCGGAGTGACCCGAAAGCAAACACAGATTGAAACGACATACAGTGTGTGTGTGTGTCTATATATATATATGTTATAACAAATGCAAACCTCTATATATATATATTATATGATTATAAATACCTCAAAAGAGAGTCATCATATATCTCGCATGTCACCTATATATATAGATAGAGAGAGGTAAAAAAAAGAAATAGCTATTTATTGGGTGTGGTTTCCAGCCTCCAGCCTGGGGTTGCTATACCAAAGGTTCTGACAGCTTGTTGTTTTGGTGAAGTTGAGGTTGAAAGTAATTCAGTTTATAAAACCCAAATTGGTTGATGCATTCTTTGGCCCCTTCTGGCCATCTACCATATGTGGATGTTCTGGGGATGACCTGGCTAGCTGGCCCATGCTGGCCCCAATTGAAGGCACTCAACAAAGATGCACATTGAGCATCTGCTTTGAACATCTTCGGCATCAAACCTGTGGACCCAAAGACAGCGGGTCAACTTCATCTTCCGCTTCCCTTCGAAGCCAAGAGCGAACTCCTGAAATGAACTCGAAGCGAACTCCGCTCCTGCCGAACTCGCAGGTTGCCTCTTGAAGGGTACCGGATCTTCAAAGATCCGGATGTCCTGCGGCGTGACGCAGGAAGTAGAAGTGGTCTATGTGACGCAGACGACCTCCCTGTTTGACCCCCTGAAAGAAGGGACATATAGACCAATACCACTCAAAAGCCAATGGCTGGGGGTCTCCCAACTTGAATACGCACACATCCATCTGGTTGTTGCTGCATGAGGCTGCTACATTGCCAGACCAAGAGCTATGAGTCCATTCCGGCAGGTATTATATAACTGGTTTCGGTGGTTTCCCTTCTTGGGAGAGCTTCAAGCCCAGCAAGAACTTGCACGTGTGTGTATCAGAGAGCTACATTCCGGCAGGTCTTCGGATGGGTTTGAACAACAACATGCCGCATGCAAACTGGCGCATGGTGGACGATGATCGCCGCCCGAGACTCTCGAATAATGCCAGAAGATGCCAGATATATACCAAAATGACTTCCTCTACTGTGCACCCGGAGGGTTCCACGGAAACGTGATCGGATGAAACTTTCTCATGCTCTCTTTTTCTCGGTATGTTTCTGCTCGCGTTTCATAGGATGATATATATACTCAGTCATGTTTCTCCGATCGTTTCCCTCACGTCTTGATCAATTCTGAGAGTCTCGTCCTCGGTCGTCACCGTTTCGAACATCTCCTGCAACTCACCTCGGGCGGTTTCGTCGGTCGCTTGGCCAAGACTGAAATGACTGGGAGAAGCTGCAACTGGCAACCCCTACTTAGCTAGAAGGCCAATGCCTACGACATTGGCATCTGGACATACAGGGGTCCGGCAATTGAAGAGGTCCTACCACATCATGTGTGCACCGGAAGAAGAAACACAAGAAAACCCCAAGGCCCAAGGCATCCCAAGGCCCCATAAGCAGCTGGCACCCCCCATCACCAACCTCAGATTCACACCTGATCGATGACAAGAAGGACTACCTATGACCTTTCTGGAAATCGACTCCGTAATTGCTCGGTTCATGGGATCTTCAAGCAACAAACGGGCCCCACTCAGCTCGAGGCGGTTTCGATAGGCATACACCAGGAACTCACCCAGCGTGATGTAGCCGGACCGATCGCAATCAATCCTCGTTCGCTTTGCATTCATGGATCAACTCGAAGGTTTCAGGGCGGAAGGGGTCTCCGGAAGAAAGCGCGTGAAAGGCGGCGCTTTATCAGCATCAAGCAATGAAGCAGAATATAGCAGAATGAGGTTCAGTTCAGAGGGTGGTCCAGTCAGTGCCCAGTGTCCAGCAAAATTGCCCATGTAGACCCTTGATGGGTTGAACACAAAGACTCGTGACCATCGTGACATGTTCCCAGATCTGTTCCAGCAAGTCTCCTTCCACGGCTAAGTCGGCTATGCTCAAATGATCTCAAATGTTGACCGCAGGTTAGTTCGAGCTTGAAGAGCTGCCAAAGGGGAGTGGCTTCTGTTTGAGATCGTCCTTGAGGCCGGACAGACCTTGCTCTCCAGGAAAAAGCCCACTCGGGGGCGGTTGAACAGGACCATCCGCTTGCTGGCATGGCTTATGCGACCAATTCGATCGGAGGCACGTCAATTGGGTCACGGATGGCCACGGCAAAAGCACCAGGTGGTTCCACACTTTAAAATCATGTGAAGAGGTGCCCACTCAATCCCCCGCACCTCGCCCACCAAATCACCCGCCTCCCCGTCTCCCAAAGCTCGACCAGCTCGGCCCACCTCTTGAAGCACTCGTCAATCGCCACCTCCAGCTCGGCATCGTTCGGCATCACCGCATCATTGTAGAAGAGCCGCAGGCCATGCAGCAAGCTTCGCAAGACGATGGTGAACTCCGCCTGGCAGAAAGAGTTCACCACCCGACAAACCGCGGGAAAAACGCCGTCGGACGGCGTCTGGAAACGAGTGTGGAGGATGACACTCATGTACTGGTGGCATGGTTTTGGCTGCTGACTATATATAGTGCTCTGGAATGACGGGACATCTCCGGGACATGATGCAAAGTGAAGAGTGAAGAGAAACCCGAAATCCCCACCCAACTATGGCAAGACTTGTAGATCTGGCACCTATATAATTAACTGTTGAGTCCAAGTGCCGATCCAAGGTGCATCTATTTTCTAGCTGTTTTCTTGCAAACAGGCTCCGCCCCAACCCCAAGTCACGTGCCTTGTTTAAGGCTCCATCACCATCCATATCATAGATGCTGTAAATCAACGAGACCTTGGAAATGAAGGTCTGGTTGGAGGTGGCCACCACGGCTCCAAAGATCGTATTTCCATCCAGCTTGCCCTTCCGCGGGTGCAATGCATGAAAGGCTGCGTCCGCGCTGATGGTGTCGGAGAAGCACTGAAAAACATCCGTGAACTCGTGACGGTCCAAGGTTTGGCTGCAATCATCCAGGAAGTGCTGATAAGCCTTGGACGTGCTGATATCACTCAGGCTCCGATGAAATTGAGAGACTACACTTAAAAACCGTCCCAAAAACTGCTCTCAAACATAAGACCAAAATGGGATGAGGATCGGAAATATATTGCAAACACGTGTCTTGCTACCCCCCCAGGCTCCTACCAAGTGTCCAATAAATCTTCCCAAAAATCTGCTGGACGATGACGGATGCTTCAATCATCATGAGTCTTGACCCAAGACATTCCACCGGAACGGTGGATGATTCCAATGTTCGGCCTAGAAGCTTCGATGAGATCTGCTCGCGACCAAAAGGTCAAGGGCTCCAGGGGCTTGGAGAGTTCCGGGATCCCGAAGCCTCCCAGGAGACCCTTCGACCAGATCTTGCTGGCGATCTTGCCCATTCGAGCGGACGAAGCTCGGCCGGGACCCCAACGGCTGCGCAGGCGAAGGCGGCGGCGAAGGCGTTGTTCACGGGCGGGCGGAGTGAGGGAGGGGGGTCATGTCGTCAACACACGCGAGCGAAAAGTCGCCGAAAAGGCATCATTCGTTGACGTGACATCTGGTAGTCCAACACGGGCGGGGCAGCTCCTTCCCGTGTCCAGGTCCACTCTGACACCTGCCCTATAGTCTACATGCGATAGCTGCGATAGCCATGGTTTTCGGTACCTGGGACCAGTGGTGGTGTCACCGTCTCGCAGCAGTCCTTCAGTTGCTCCAGCAATGTGGTGGTGTCTCGGTCGAACTGCTGTACTTGGCCCTCAGCGTTTGCAGATGTTTTGCAGAAGAAGACCCAAGTCCGACATGGAACACTCATTATGCACACAGTACTGTAGACGGTTGATCAATCAGGGCCCCCAGCACTGGAGATGTAGTCAAAGCATTCTGGAGACGGTGGGGCTATTAATCAACAGTCTACATTAGTTCAGGACATGCCCATATTCGCGGTCTGTTCTGTTCCAATGGTCGCGTGGCTCTTCCCGTGATCCGCTCTTGGTCCGTTTTTTCCTCGTTCTCCAAGGTTACAAGAGGCTTGGCGGCGCCCTGGTGACTGGGGATGATTCACAAGCACCGCGCTCAGACGTATTGGTAGGTGAACCTCAGCTGAGACGACAGCTCCCCCAACGTGGAGCCCATGACTTGTGCATTTCAACTATAATGTTGTGCCCTGTGATGCTCACATGTCGGAAGTGTTTGACTTTTGCTGATAAGTCCCTATAGCCGAAAATTGAAGTAGTGCTGAGCCATCATGAAAGTACCTAAAAGATATATGCAAATACGCTACTAATCACAAACGGTTCACTCACAAAGGACAACGACCTTTCACAAGAGGTGGGTTGCTCTTGTCCTTCCACACCACCCCATGCAACAGCACTTTGCACAGACAGGGTGCCACAACAACGCGGTGCCACAACAAGGACCCTAAATTCAGTACTTTGGCTTTGGTAAGGTGAAGTTGGCCCATCGCCGGTTGGTCCCGTCGGAGAGAATGAGGTGTTCCCGATCAGCACTGCCCTTGCTTGCCGTTTACCGCTTCCGTGGTTCCTCCACATCCAGTCTTCCAAACACTGGGGGTCTTTGACTCCAACTGGCATAAATTGACGGTCCCCCGACCTAGTGTAAAAACATAATAAAACCCCATATGAAGAGGTTACCATCCATGTCTGAGGAGGAATCAAAAGTCTGCAGTTGAAACCCGAGCTTTGAGCCAGCCATGTGAGAACTCTTCATCCTACCACCCCTGGACCATCGCGGGCCCGGCCCTCAACCGGCACACGTTACGAAGGTGTTTCGTTTGACTGTGCTACCCACGGTGTCTCAAGTCAGCGACGGACGACAACAACAAAAACTGCAGCCCCGTTACAACATATCTTGTTCCTTTGTCTCTACAAGGGGGTGGAAACAAAATCTGCAGCCCCGTCGTTGTTTTTTAACCCCCCCCCGAAAACAACCAGCCAACAAGTACTTTTACCAGTAGTGGTAGTGCTTGTGCTAGTACTAATACCAGTGGTACTAGTAACTAGTACTAGTCGTATTCGTTGTTATGGTAGCCGTAGGAGTAGTAGTTAGTAGTAGCAGTAGTAGAAGTAGGAGTAGCCTGGTAATACTAGTAGTTAGTAGCAGTAGCAGCAGCAGCAGTAGTAGTAGTAATTGGTCGGCTAAGCCCCTGTAAAACTTCTCCTAGAGACACTGCAGCCCCGTTGTTGTTTTTGGACCCGCCCCCTCAAAAGGTGTTGTCTCTACCCCCTCCTAGAAACAAAGATTGCAGCCCATTGTTGTTTTTTGGACCCCCCCCCTCCAGAACAACACCTCAAAAACACTAAACACGCACCAGCCCAGACTTCAGTGAAACAAGTCCAACAAGTCCACCGACTTACGACACCAACATTCGCTCAAACCTTCAACCGTATCCCTAACCTTGCCCCCTTGAAGTTCCAAAGTTACAGTACAACATGTGACAATTATGTTGGGCGGCTGTGGTGGTTGGTTGTTGGTTGTTGGTTTTTGGTTGGTGGTTGTTGGTTGTTGTTGGTTTTTGTTGTTTTTGTTGGTTGTTGGTTGTTGGTTGGTGGTTGTTGGTTGTTGTTGGCTTTTGTTGGTTGTTGGTTGTGGTTGTGGTTGTGGTGGTTGTTGTTGTTGTGGTTGTTGTTGCTGTTGTTGCTGTTGGTAGAAAAACAGCCTTGCGGAAAAAAACTTTCCTGGATTCCGTCCAGCAACTTCCGGGCTTCGTTGAACTTGGTCATCTCCTGTCCACTATTCATGAAGCCCACTCGGCCCTCCAGGGCATCTGGCACCTGCCGGGCCGCGGGCAGGAGCCGAGCGGAGCCGGACACACGTCCTCAGGCGGTTTTTGGTCGGTCGGGACGCTCCTTGGGGTGCCTTTTGGGGGGACCGGAAGTCTGAAAAAGGTATGGCAGGCATTGGCAGGCATGGGATTTGGTTGGGACGTGTATTCCTCCAATGGCCGGGCTGGGACGCATCTCTTTTCTGCCCAAAGCTTGAGAACATTAAATAACTGTATCCTTGCACATGTCTGGCATCATTGGGCTAGTGACGTTCACTTCAAGAAAGCAATGATGAAGCGGAATGCAGAATCATTTTGTGGCGTCTACTCCTGACTTTGTGGCCACCTGCCGGCCCCGAGTGAAAGCGTTCAGAGTTGGCACGTCTACTCCACCTTCAGCGCAAGACATCTCACTTCATACTCTTCAACGTCTTTCGGCCCCGCCCCCCAAAAAAAGAAACAACCAAGAACCAAAGGAGGAGCGCTGACCGGTCGCCTTGAAGATGCTATCCTTGGGCTTTCCGGACATGAAGCCGCACTTGCTGCGGGTACTCGCCTCGCTCCCAGGATCGTCGGTCCGGCCGTTTGTGCGACCCACGAGGATGAAAGAACGCGAGTGATCGTGTCCCTAGTGGTGTGCTAGCGGGTCCAGTGGTGATCAACTGGATCCAATCAAGTGGTGTCCAGTTGATCCCCTTCTTTTTTGGCCGCCTTCTTGTAGAAGAACTTTTGCCATGATGCCTGGACAAAACACGACATGTTTGAGCACACGAACACCATGTCGTGAGCCATGGTGCATCTTTCTTCTGGTCAATCAACTGCTTGCATCAGCAAAAGCCGCCTGCTGCTTGACATGCTCTGTCTCCAGCTTGTCCATGCGCTGTTGCTTTTTGATGGCCTCGGGTTCTTCCTTCTGACGGTTCTTACCTTCTTGGAGAAGACTTCCATTGTCAAACTCCACTGGATGTTTGATGCTCGGATCCATCCTAGTCCTAGCCCAACCTGCGGCAGGACCTGCAGGGGACGCCTGATGGCTCCAGCGACAGGCCAAGCTGCTGTGATTTTCCTTCTCTTCGCCTCAATGATGTCTTCGGTGTCCGTCTTCCTCAGCTTCCAACGTGTCGAGCAGCGAGCGAGCTTCCCACAGCTCGAAAGGGCTGGTCAACTCGCAACCTGGCAATTCTAACGGGCTGCGCGATCTGCATGCTCTCGGGGATCTTGTAGCCAGCGGGCGTCGTCACCTGAGCAAGAAAAGACTGCAACCCATTTGGGGGGAAGTGCTGCGTTGCTTGAAATCTTAAAGGATGAGGTGCTCAATTCCACACAGGCTCACGAGCAGTTTGCTGTAGAATCCGAGAATTCGTTTTATCCATTGTTAGCCTGCTTTCCGATCCTCACAGCACTTATCCCAACCCAGCCTCCTTGATGGTGCGCTTCTGCTGTCCGACTTTGCCGGTGCTCTGGAGTCGGATCTGGTCAAACTTCACCTCTGCCTTGCTGCCATAGTCAATGAAGGTGATCCTGTTCACGTTCTCCGTGGCGAAACCATGTCACGCAGGTCGCACCCGGAGCTCCGAGATCCAAAACAGGTCACGTCGGGCGAATCCAGATTCGCAGGTCGCTTCCTTTTGCGATCCCACCGTTGGGTGCTTAGTTAGGTTGGAGCACTGTGGCTCCATTCTTCCAACTCACTTCTTCCAATCTACAGCTGTCTCGAACTCACGAAAACAAAGGAAATAACTCGTCGGAGTCATGGAGTCAGGGAGTCAAGGAGTTGGGCAGGTCCCCTTTTCTGGCCAGACCGACTCGAGGCTCAACCCGGTGAAACCGACACAAACTCACACTGGACACCGACTGTATGTAAAGGACCCATCTTCCAAACCCCCGAAACTGACAGGTGATCCATGTGAGAAGCAGAATGTAAATGTCATTCTCCATCTTCCATATGCAATTAATATCAATTAATATATGTTATATTAATATCTTATGACCTGCATGTTTCTCCTTGACTCTTGGCCAAGCAGCTTGTAACCCTTCTCTGTCTGCTCGGTAATAACCTCATCCCCGATCCAACCCGTTCAACGCACAGACATGCCCAGGTGTTTGACGCTATCTTCGATCTCAGCACCGATCTCCATGGGAGAGGACGTGGGCCGACGTCAACACGTCCGGTGAGTGGTACCCCCTGAAAACCGGAACAACAGGCGTCGCTCATACAACATCTCCATGCCATGAATAATCGGAGTTTATTTGGTTATTTGGTGGCCTTCCATTTGCCTGAGAAAAATCATGACTTGATTTACAGTTTGCAGCCTGCCTGAACCATTGCGGACCGGTAGAAGGTAGAGACGTAAACTTGCACTACCAACCCGGCGCCAACCCCAAAACAAGAGAGAAATGCACACAGCAACAGCACATCATAGTCAACCCCTGAGATACGGACGCAATCGTACCACAAGCCGTCTTCTGGGAAGATCGCCTGGCTCGATGCGTGCAGCTGGACGTCGCCTGCCACCTACCTACCACCTGTTGCTCAGTGTTCAGAGCCCGCGACGTTCGCCCACCGCTACCGCTACAGTCACCGTCTGTGGGGCATCTCGTCAAGTCCTGGGTCTGCATGTCTGGGTCTTGTCATCTGGGCATGTCTCAGCCATCGTTCGGGCTTTGCAATGGTGGCCAAGAAGGCACAGACCATCCGGACTGTGGATGCCTTCCACCACGCCGGTTGCGTCCAATCCGGCGCGACAACCGCCCTGCGCCTGGCATCGCGTGCCGGGCTGGCACTGAGCTGGATGAGGCGGGCGCAAGAGCCTCACGTCTGTGACCTGCGTGGACCCGCAGGCGCGGAGCCGCGACTGAGATGCTTTGGTTCGATTCTTTGGAAAGTCTATGCTGCTGGCCACTTTGGGAGGACAGATGAAAGCAACAGGATACAACAGGTGTTTTTTTGTTCACTTCCATTCCATGCTTGTGGAGTCTTCTTTAGACAGAGCGCGAGCACTCCCTGGCTTGGCACCTTTTGAACTGTTTGAGGTTGGTGCCAAAGCATTCAAATGATTGAGCAGTAATCAGGAATCCCCTTCAGACGTTGGCTTACACACCTCCAAGCTGAAACTGAGGGAATTTCCCCTTGCCATGCAGTCACATCTCCAGATCTCCCGGCCACAGGCAGGTTGGACCGTGACCATCTCTGACCCAACAACCTCCCTGGGTCCCAAGAGTGCTCTGAATCCCTGGATGTCCATCGCTGCCTTGAACTCACGCTGGTTGGAGAAGCCGATGAACTCCACCATGGCTCGCTCTTGTCCCCTTTCATCCCGGCGCACGGACTTGATCTCTCCGTTGTACCACTTCTGCTCAAAGAAGGCCTCGAACGCACCGAGGCCAGAACGAAGCTAATGCCGACCGCGGCAAGGTCCTTGGGATTGACCCAAAGCAGTCACTTGAGGTCGTTTTCTGGAGATCCCAAAGTGAACGAGCCCGCTTTGGCCCCGAGCCATGAACAAGGATGCTGTCTGGTCTCCTCCTCATCATGTGGAGTGACCACTGCTGAGTACTAGAGTAGTCTACTCCAGGATCACTCCCATCTAGATATATACTCCAGGGATGGCAAGCAACTTCGACCTTGGCATGATGAATGAAGCAGTTCTGCTTCACCTACAGCCGACCGCACAGCCCCCCCGGCTGCCGGTGGCACCCAGAAGATGTGGACCCTGCAGGCTTTCAAATGCGCCACGTGCGCGGGCGGCTGAGCTCGGAAGCGCCAACTGGACCTCCCGAGACCTGGGACCGACGGAGGAGTCCCAGATCTGCCTCGCAGGTGCGCCCCACCAGCGCTGTATGCACCGACTTGGCAGCCTAAGTCTCCGTCCGGAATGGGCATCCGGATGGCCCAAGTCACAAGGGCAGGGACGAGAGAATCGGTGGGATTGAGCAAATCCTCCCCCATGTGCCTGGGAGCATCCATCCCTTTTTCAAACAGCGATCTCTGCGACTGTGCTGTAGAATGCTGTAGGTCACCACTTGTGGACGGAAGTCAGTATGCTGGTCCAAGCCTTTGCGAGTTCTGCAATGGGACACGGTGTGAAGAAATCACCTGTGCTCGGTGTTTAGAGAGGAAAAAGGAAGTGCCAGAAATGGAGCCGCTGAATCATCCATTGCTGCCCCCAAGGTTCCCCCAATCATCATAATGTTGGTTCTTGCACTCATGAAAGATCTTGACATCTTTGCCACCAGTCCCACCCAACCGCCCGTTCGCAAAGCCCAGCAGCCGAACGGGAGGTCTGCGTCGGCTGCCTTAGCTGGAGCATCTGAAGGCTCAGCTCCCAGTGCCAGCATTCTGCTGCCATATCTTCCGTGCAATATCCCATCCGGATACCTACTGGGGATCTGGAAATCCAATAAGCCAGTGAGGGTGCAAAACTTGGTCGGTAAACTAGACTATGTATGTGCCATTGTCTAAGACCTGTCTCTGAGTTGCTTGTAGCATGCTCCATGCATGGTGTTCACCATGCTCCCTGACTCCATGGCCAGCTCGATTGAGCAACCACCACTGGTCACAATGGCAACGATCCTGAACTGCGCAAGTTCATGAGGCCCTAAACCCGCAAACGACCCGCCTTCCGGGTTCTTCTTCACCATGACCCAGACTGAAATCCCTCCAGCCAGCCAGGGCGGTCAGGGCAGGGTCCCACCCGCACCCGCATGCGGCGACCCTTCACCCTCGCTGCTTGCGTTCCACGCGGCGGCACCACACTCGCGCGGCCCGTGGTGCCCGCTGTCTCGGCACCCGCCGCCTGCTCGGCCTCTGTGGGGGCGGCCGCCTGCGTGGTGCCAGGCGCTGAAAACTGTAGAGGTGTTCAATGTAGAAACAAGAGTCCAATGGATTTGGAGGATTGAAATCAGAAAAAGTCTAATTTTGGTGGATTTGTGGATGGACAGAGCATAGGTAAAATGTCTCTCTCGAGGTCGCTCTAACAATCTAACAATCTAACCCAAATGACCAGACTGCCAAACTGCATTTCCGGGAAGTTGACCCTCTCTAGTTGTTGGCTGCCAGGTCCATGCAAAACGGTGGTTGTAAGTTATTCTGTTGGTTCGGATTTGGCTGTGAACTCGTCCCCCGATCCAAAGGTCACATCCTTTCTTCGACAAAGAAGGAACTTGCAACGAGACAATGTGGACGTGCAACAATTGCAGAACATGTGCAGGTCTGAACCCCAAAATGTGTTTGTGCTTCCATAGTTCTATCTTGCCATGTAAAATGCAGTGCGTTGCAATCCAAGACGTGCAAGCAAGCTGCAAGGTAATCTGGTGAGACACATGCTGTGGAGGTCATCTTACACATGTGGAGCACGGCACGAGTCGAGATTCCCTTGCATACCATGTGCATGCTCATCGCATCGATGCTCCTCGCATCAAGTAGCATGTGCTCACGCTGCTCGCCTGGTACTTGACCAAATCCTCTGTAAGCACAATGACCTCACGGGCACCGGAGTGGATGTTTCGGACTCCGCGCCCCCTCCGAGCCCCCGGTTTTGGTTCCCACCGGGCGCGGGTCCATTCGGATCATCACTCTGGCGGCTACGAGTGAGTTAGTCCTCACTGTAACTGGTGGAGGATGGTTTGACAAGAGGCTAGACCCTGACTAAATAGAACTTTACTGTATGCGGCAGTGACCTGGAATAGACCCGACCAACCACATATTCACCCAATCCCAGTCGCTTCCTCTCAATTCACGGTCCCCACTGCGCACCGAGAAAAAGAACAAACAAACACTCTTTCAGGGGCCCAAATTAGGAAGGCCGCCGGTCACCGGGGATGCCCCACATGAAAAGGTGAAATCATGTGAGGCTCCCGTGTGGTGCCACTCGAGGTGCCGACTGTGACACGCAAGCGGAAGTCTTCAAATTGCTAGCCAGTCAGTCACTGGTCAAAACAGGGTTCATATATTTGCGGGGGTGGACATGTACAAAAGAACACAGACTGGAATCCGCTGCCGTTCGTGGTGGCCTCCAGTAATGTCACGCCGCGAGAACACCTGAGTTTGTGACTTCTGTAAGGTCATTCTTCAGCTTCACCAGGGATGGTTCATCCGGCTGCTGCTCCAAGGCCTGCAAGTCGCATGACAGCCTACTTCTGCCTACTGCAGTCTAGGATTCAAAGGCTCCACTTCTTCCCACGTGAATAATCACGAGTTTATCTGTGCCTTTTGCATGAATTATATATAATTATCACAAAAAATTGCGTTGATCATCTACATCATTGGAGGTGTACAAGGACACGCTTTGGACCAGCAGAGTATGATTGGAACCTGTCAAGACCTGCAAGCGTGGGGTATTGAGGCACCGGAAATAAACACCATCCCGCAATCCCATACCGCATGGAACAGTGGTACAGCAAATCACGGCATTTGTCCCACCAAGAAGCCAATCCAAGAGTGGCACCGGGCCTCTTCAACCTGTGCGAGCTGCTCTCGGTAGGTATCGAGCTTGGTCAGCAGCTCCTCTGCCGACTGACTGAAATCCATGGCCTGAAGCAACGGCAGAGCTGCCACTGACTAGCAAGCGGAGTTGTCAGTCATCAGGACCCGAAATGTGTGCTGAGAATTGCTTACCAGGCTTTCTCTCAGACGACAGGGCTTCAAGAAAACAACGTTAGAGGAAACAGAATTGCTGCTGGATTGCTGCCCCAATTCCCATCAGACTGCGCCCCAGTCATCAGGCACTGTTTAATCAAGATGTGCTTGATGCAAGGTGTGCGTTAGCCTTATGAGCCTGTGACTCCAAAAATGGACAGCTCAAGAATAGAAACCTCTCCGTAGCTTCATTCTGAGACATCGTTTTCTTGTTTAGATTGCCGCGGTCTCTGCCGTTGCCGCCAAAAGGCAGGGGTTGCGAAGGCAGCTGCGGCCCCTTTAAAAAAAAAAAAATCAATCGTGTCATTCCTCCAATTGTGTTCAGAATCCTGGGGCGGAGCTTGCTGCTAGCAGGCACCGCATCCTTAAGCAACTCCGCCCAAAGAATGACTGGCAGCCTCAAGAAGTTGTGAGGGACAGGCTCTTTGATGCCAGCCTAGCTGCAGCAAAGGAAGCAATAGGGAGCAATGATGAGTCAGCTTGAGAAGACGTAGTGCTGATTTCGTACAAGTTGGTGGTGCAGTGCAGCTTAGTCGACATTAAGAAACAAGTGTTTGTGGCAGGCGCAGCCAGTGGAAGAACTTAAGAACTAGTGCAGATTTCGTGGCGCTGGGAGGGGGTGAGGGAAGGGCGCAGCGCTTCAAAGGGAACAAATATAATATATATATATACAATTATATATATATAATGGTAATCAACTGTAATAATATAACAATAACAGCAACAAAACAGGCAAACACATAAAGCAAAGGACACAAAAGCAGCACAGGCCTGCACCAAAAGCGAAAAAAACAACCAAGACATACCAAAGCAAAGGCAAACACAAAAAGCAAAAAATGCCCCCCCAAAAAAAAACAAGAGCAAGAGAAGCAAATCTAGAAAGTTTCCTGCGAACAAGAAATGTCCATCACAGCTTTTGGGGGTCCAGGTTCCTGTACTTACCGATGACTGACTCGTGCTGCGTCTTCTCCCATCTGAGAAAGCAATGTACATCAATCTGCCGCTTTTCCAATGAGCCTTTGGCCCCCTAAGACCCGCAACTATCATGCTTTTCCCTCTTAAGAGGGGTTCCCAAGTTCAAGGTAAGCCAACAAATTCCCTGGATTCAAACAGCGTCTAATTACTACTCATTTCAGCGAAACCACCGGATGGAAAGCACCCAAACCCTCGTTCCGTCACTTCTTCCAGGGCACGACTTCCGTGGAACCGCCAGTGGCCCCGGAGACGCACGTTGGAGCTACACAACAGCTGAGGTGTTCACGCGACGGGTACCGAGTAGGGATGTGCAAGCAGTCTACACTGAAGAATGACAACAACAGCACGCTAAGCCACTTATTCTTTTCAGCGCATCACTTGAATGTCTCTCAAGCTTCTGACTTACTTCAAATCATCAAAATAGGTGGCGGAAAAGACATGTGCATCATTGTGCATCACTGGCACATTTCTAAAGACTTCCAGCGTGCCAAAGAAAGATTCTTACTTGGTTTCACCTCATTGCTCATGCCTATGTTAAGTTCGGATCCACCATGGATCCACCATGGCCCCGGCACTGCTGGCAGACCCAAACCTGAGGACAAATCGTCTGCTGGTCGTCTGCTCTTTTCACAGCCCGATGCTTTCGATTGACGTATGATATGACTAGATTAGAATGGGAGCTTGATCCCACTCCCTACACGTTTGGATGTTGACCATCCGTCCATCCGAGTCCATCCCCCAAGGCCCCAATGCAGAAAGAGCCCACAGGAAGATTCGAGCGAAAGATTGGTGTAAGAAGTCATCACACTGTTGACAGGTTGTGAGAGAAAGGGTTATATATATAATTATATATATATATTTGGGCCACTAGCCAATGCAAAGCACAAGTTTTGGGGAATTAACTAGCCATTGCTGAAAGAAATCAAGACTCCTTGACACGGAGCAAGTACTCATCGTCAAAGCTCCCAGGTTTGCCATCTGCAGTATTGCTAAGCTTCCGTCACCATGCGGTCAGAAAGCGCCAGTGTCACGATGAACTCGGTGCCTGGTGCTGACCGGAGATACGTGAGACGAGACCCTCTTTGCCCCTGGGATCACCTGATTGGTATTGATTGATGATGATTGATGTATCTTGATGTTGGAGTGGAGCATGCCAGCCAAGTAAGCAAATTGGAAAGTCAAGCGGTGAAGTGAGCACAACAGGCTGAAAACTCTATATACCTGCAATCAAGAATCAAGGATGCAAGTGAACCAAACCCTTTCACACACCCCTGCCTTTGGCTGCCGGGGGGGCCAGCAATGACCTCGGGATGTGCAAAAATCGATTGGGGAAATCCGATGGCCCTGGGATTTCGATGGTCACATCGAGCAGCTTTTTGAGCAAACGATCGGGTCGGCAAGGGGTTGATGTGGTGTCTGGCCGGCCTGGTGAGAGCCGGAATGATGTGTGAGCCGGATGCACCACGGCCAATTCGTAAAAGAATCGTGAAAGCCCTTGGGCAGTGGTGCAGTGGGGAAGTTCATCCCAAGCCCAAGTGGGGATGATCTACATCTAGTCAATTTGACGTCAAGCATGTCACCTGCTGCAACATGCTGGTGGCCTGATCTGGCCTCATGGTGCTCTCAGAACTCTCCTATACTCTGGTCTCATGACCCGCTCAGTAGGCGGTCAGCTTGGATGGCCGTGACAGTGGAGACCAGGTTTTTTACCCAAATCCTCGTGCTCCAGCACCGCATCCCCAATTAGGATTAACTTGGAACTTCGGGACCACCTCCCAAAACAAGCATCGGCGGATGGAATTTCCGGACGGAATCTCCAACGGTCTGCCACCAAAGAGGTCAATGGCTTTTTAGGAATTCAGTCGGTTTCTGCCAAGTCTTCCAAATCAAAGCTTTAAGAGACCTGCTCTGTCCACCATTCCCCCCCGCCATTTTCAGGACCTGCTACATCAACCGTTCACCCTCGCCTTGCGAAACATAATGAAACATACCCGCCTCGTCGACCGTGACCTTCTCTCCAAAGCGATGTTGGCACAGCGCAGTGACCACCTGGCAAGGTGCTTCTGAGGTTCGATGAACGCCAGGCGACGTGCCTGTTCACGCCGGCGTTTCATGGTTGTTCACCGGTGTTGGTTGGACTTCATGTCGCCCTCTGGCTCACAAGAAGATGGCGAATTGAAAATGTCTGATGGAACATGTTCCAACAGTGTCCGTCCAGTTTCTCTGCTTGAAGGCTTGCACTGTCTGCTGACACAATGCGCTGAATTGTTCAAGGAGTTTCTTCCTACCACCCACCGTAAAAGGGGAAACACAGCAAGCCTGCTCAAGGAGGCCGGGCAGGCATTACGTGCAGTCTCATTGGCATTTTCAGCCACCCAATTGGCGTCCACATCCTAGCATCTGCACGAGCATCAAACTCCAAGCGGTGAGCAATGCTTGACTCGACTGCAAGAACGTACTGCATAGATAGATTGCAAAAATGTCTCTTGACCCGCACCTTCACGTAAGTCATCGTAAGCCCTTTGGCCTGTCAAGTTCGTTGCCATACTGAGCTCACGGCAGGCAAATCCTCAGACCTCTCAGCCTGGGGCCCACCATCCTCAGACACAAGGCCACTTGTTCACTGTAACAGTCTGCGGGCTATAAACCATCAATTCCAGCACCTTAGTCACCAGGAATGATGATTGTTTGTAATACAATTTCTATGATCTTCTATGGACGCTGATCAGAATTGAGCCCTAGCATGCCCTAGCCATGGAAGATGTCCTCTTGGCGCACGGCACGCAGTCGTTGCAGAAATTCCGCACTGGCCAGCTCCTGCCATCGCTCCCGTTCATCCAGCAGAATCATGACACATCCAGCGAGGAGACCACTCCGAGTTCCTCATGTTCATCTACTCTTCTACAAAATCGGGCAGGGAGCCCCTTGTGCTCTCAACACCCAAGAATCCTCTAAGCCATCCTGAAGCACTCCCGCTTCCCCAGCTCCTCCACTGCTGATGGCACTTGGGCTGAAGGCTTGCGATAGCCTCTGCCGGGAAGCTGCGCCCTTGGCTTCTTGGATGGCTTCTATTGGGCTTCTGCAACCACGAGCCCTGGCTACATGGAAATGCATCTAGTTGGCACCCCCATAATTGTGCTCAGCGAACTGAGTTGGTACCAACCTATACCAACCAGGCTTGAGGTTGATACACCCTCTGAAATCATCACGGAATTCGTGGCGTTCATCAGTTGGGTGGCTCGTGGTCATCGGGGGCCATGCCATGCCACTTCTGCAGAATTGGGGCCATGTACCTTCGTCCTCAGCTCTTCACCAAGTTGAAAACGGTCTCGGAGGTCCCGGTGGTCCCGGTGGAGATTGCGTGGGAAATGACTGGAAATGGAAAACAAACTGGAAACACTACCGAAAGCCTATTGGATCTTATTACAATGTACTGGCTCAACTGAGTTGGAGGAGCCCCACGTGCCGGAGGAAATCATAAATTGCTCGAAATGCTCGAACACCATGCCTTTGGCTCGCCTGGCCACCGCTGGGATGTTGGAGCCCTCCTGAGGCACCCAAAAGCACCGCGCTTCCGGAAAAAAGAGGAAAAAATACATCACGTCCTCAAAGAGAAACCGGAAGAAAAAATACACATCGACTTCTTTGAGCTACTCCACACACCAGAGTGTAGACTGATCAATAAAGCCAGGGTGTTCAATCCGAATGGGCGGTGGTGTTGATCAACAGCCTAGAAATTGGAGTAGAGGGATTGATCTTCAGTTTGGGACAGGTCGTCTTTGTGCGCTGTCGGGAGATGAAACCGCTTCGAGCTCGCTCCTGTGGCCATGGGGCAAATGCCCCACCTTGGCGCATGGCCCATGGTTCAGTCGATTGCCATCGATTGGACCATCTCAACCACTCGCCTGGAAAAAGGAAACGTCCCAAAATCGACCATAACATGGAGCATGGGACAAGTCACAGGCTGGGTTCATGCAAAACATCGACCAAAAGCTGGTGAGTGGTCATCCAAAAAAGCCTTCGAGCTCGCAAGTCGCATGCTGCATAGGGAGAAGTGCAAAATGCATCCAAAAGTGTGCTCTTGTGTCATCTCCTCTCTTCTGATGCTATTTGGACCTCAGAGTCACCCCTGCCTCGACCCAGCAGCTGGCAGGCAGCAACAGCTCCAAGCCAAGATCCAGCAAGGCCTGCTGGGCAGCATCTGGGCAGACGATTGCAAGTAGACTGGCGTGTTGAGCATGTGATGTTGCGCATGTGAGTTTGTTGAGAAAACAAAAATTAGCATCACCCCATCAGAAGCAAATGGTTGGCTCAAACCACCTAAGGTCTTCCAATGGGACATGAGTCATGAGAGAGGGGAAAAAAAGAGGCGGACTTCAAAATGCCAACATTATTGAACCTCAACCCATATATGACATGAGATCATCTTCCACGCATCCTAACAGTCATATGCTACATAGGCCCAAAAGTCAAGCAGTGGAATTGGGTACTTTCACTTAGTTTGCTGCTTCAGTTCCTTGTGACCAGCACGCATGGATCTTTGCCCCCCCAACTCCTGGCTTGGTCTTCTGAGGTGGCTCTGGCTGAGGCTTTGCCTTTATATTGTGCGTCTCTCTGTCTAGTGGCTGTGAACGATCGTGAACGCATGATCTGCCGCCTTGACCAGTCCGGCGAGCATCACGTGGCGAAGACCTTGACGGGCTAAACGGCGTCCGCGGACTGGCTCTGAAGGGACTTGAACTACGGCAAGTTGGTGTGGCAGTGTGGGTTGGTTGGTGTGTTGCATAGTGTGCTGCGTTGCTCTGGGTGGCCCCACCAAACCAAACCAAACACCAACGATGTAGTTGGGGACTAGGCCTAGCAAGGCCTAGGATACGTGCTAGCCACTAGCCCTCTTCAGGGCCAGCGCCTATCTAGACACGGTGTTTGACCCTGAACTTCTTCAACTCTCCAGAGCGATGCAAGTTCTATGGCAGTGAAAGTGCGCAGGTCTTTTCCTGCGTGCTCCCAACGCCACTGCATACTACGACATCTTGAATCATCACGTAAATGCAAACGGACACAAAACGTGATGGCAAACGGGACGGTAGCAAAGACTAGTCCTTCGCTTTACTGCTGCTGGGCTGCATGGCTGCAATCACATGGATCTACATGCGACATCATGCGACCGTGTCTGCATGTAGCTGTGAAGGATGTAGGACTGTGAAAGCTCGAGATGGAACCCATCTCCACACCCCCATGCGGCAGAGCTCTCTGAAAGTTTCTGATGGACTTCAACTCGTGCACTCAAGTTTTGGAATTCCGCTGGCCCTTTTGTTCTTAGCCTGCACAGTAGAAGGTCCACGCCTGTGCGGGGATAATCACGGGTCTGCCAATCCATCCAAGAATCAAAACTCTAAGAAGGATCAAACCATCTTGGATAGTCATTCTTCGAGCGACCAAATCCTTGAGAAGTGATTTGATTTCGTTCAGGGTGCTCCGGCCAGCTGCATTCGAAGAGCGAACTGCTAAAGCTGACTTTGAGCCAAGGCTGGGAGAGCGGCTGGGGCGCTGCTTGGCCTCTCAAGGGGTCAAGCAATCATGAGCAAATCTATGCAAATCTATGCAAATCTTGCGTTCAATTTGGAGGTGTTCATGAAGTGGTATGGGGGGTTGATGGGGTTGACCCTCAAGGTGATGAGCCCAAGACTCACCCAAACTGTTTAGTTTGAGCGACTTCGGTGAAATGTGACGAATTGAAACAAAGATTCCTACAGTCCTACAGTCACAAACCTGCATTTCAGGTCACACCATTCCCCACGAACCGAGCTTCACCATGTCGCGCTCCTTGCTCGGTGTCCTTGGATCCGCGGACGTCCTCCGTTTCGCGGCACGTCGTCGGTCGCGTCTCGTTTCGCCGGGGCGATCTTCGCCTCTGCGGTCTCCCAGCTTTGCGGGGCACAGGGAGCACGCGACTTGGTCACGTGGAGCCCCGCCCCCTCTTCTCCGAGAAAAACGGATGGCCGCGTGTGGAGAGGACACCAGCAGACGAATGAAAACAACTTGCACCCCTGGTAGATCCTTGTTGGGGATGCGCACCCATTTTCATCAGGACCCGTTTCATCGCAGTTGTTCTCAGCCTCGTAGGCCCAGCGGGTCACGGTCGCCAGTGCCCTCCGCAGCCTCGCACGGTTCGCGAAGCTCCAAGACCGTCTTCAAGCCTCGCCCGCCCCGGCTCGGCGGGATTCCCGGAGAACGAGGGTTGGTTGGTGGGCGGGTTCTGCCAAGACGGTGCCGAAGAATTTGGGTGGCAAATACTCCGAATCAACATGTCTGAGGAAATTGGCGACAAAAAGGAGGATCAACGAATCACGAAGTCGAAGTCACTCCTTCCGGAGAGCGAAGGAGGAGACCATGAAGCATCCTGAAGCCACCACAGAAAGCCGCTTTTCGATGCCAAGCAGCCCAGGTCTTTTGGCTTCGCAGCATTCCCTTCGGCGATGGTGGAAGGTCGCTCAGGTCCGCGTGAGACCTCACCACCTGAAGGCCAGTTCGGAGGGTCGAGACGCACCCGGGTTTGCGGTCGATGTTCGGCTCCCTTGAGTTCGGGCCTTTGGATTTGGACCCCCCTGCCAGGAGTGCGGGATCTATGCAAGACTTGGGAGCTTGGGGAGCTTGAGGCTGAAAAAGACCAAACTGCAAGGGTCACCCCCTTGATTCATCTGTATACAGAGCCGAGCTGGACTTTAGAAGCCAAATTGTTGGACTTGTGCTGGGTCATCCAAGTTCGACCTCGGAATCTATTCCAGATAGCCTTCCTGAAACAACCATGCAAATGAAACATCCTGGAAAGCATTGTCCGCTACAAACAGGAGATTGTACACATCCATGTTTGTTGGAGGCGCGCGAATAATACCCTTTCACTCTTCAAAACCATTCACAACCGTTTTGGGGCCAACTCCTTCAAATCATTTCAGATCTTCGGGGGGTTGGCTGGCTCACCCTGTCCGGTCCACCTGAATGCTGAGGCCGCCCAAGAACTCCGCATCCGCCGGCGAGCCCAAGGCGCTGTTGCGCCGGCGCCGTGCCTTGGAAGGCCGGTGGCATGGCCAAGAAGGGAACGGAACAGTCGATGCCGGAACAGGCAAGCCCCAAGTTAGCCACATGTCTTCTTCTTCCATATGAGACATATGAGATGTCTTCAAAAGCATTTTACCAATTTTAAGTGAGTCCATGACGAGGCGAGGGGCGACCCACTGGCCCCTATCTCCAAGAGCTTTCGGTTTTGTTGTTCCGGTGAAACGACTAGGTCAAACTACGACCACAATCTGGTCATAGAAGATCTTGGAGTGAGCGACAAACCTAATGGCACCAGTGACATCTGGAGGACCAAAAAACATATCGAATCATCTCTGACTCGTCCATTGTGCGTTTCTGGTCTGCTCACCCGCCAAGGTTTTGGGGTTCAAAGCCCAGCCAGGATGAAAGGCTGTTCATCCGTTTATCACCCTCGCTGCCCAGGCCTCGGCCAGGGCTGAGGGCTTGGGAAGCTCCAGAGACCTTCGTCGGTCCTCAACCAATCTCATCGCACCAGGCCAGGCCGGGCCGGAGCGTGGTCTGTGAACGCATCCCTAAACACATCCCGTAGACGGGTTCACATTTTTGGGCTGATGAGATGGCACGAGTTATCAGGAATGCTCTTCCAGGAGGGGCAGCTCCAGGAGTGCCAAATCAGCTTCCCACTTTGCCCATCTTTGTCCCACAGTTCAGCCTTTAAAGGGAAATGTGATCACTCTCGGGGGTAAAATCTCGAAGAAATTGCAATGGAATTTACGATCGCTGTCCTGCTTCTCGGGGCTTTTCGGCGCATCCTGGCAAGCGCTGGCATGCACAAGCCGAACATCGTCTTCTCATCCCAAAATCTTCTTGTCAGGCCACGGATGGCATCGGTTTAGGGTTTTCCAACCTTTTCCTGAGGCCTTCGAAGGATTGGCCGAGACTTCCTCCCCTCAAACATCCTCAAACTCCGAACTGCCTCCGCAAAGGCGGGCGCCCGAGCCTCAGAAACCTTCGCAGCTTTTTCCCGCTGGGCATTGGGTGCCTGGTATCGGAGTGGGGGATGTAGGTGTTGGACGGTCCTCCACCCTTTGGCGGAAGTTTCACGAGTCACCGCAGTGCTTGGGTCCTAATGGGAATCCTAGTGGCCTGGCCCGTGCTGACCAATCTATACAAACAACACAAGAAACCATACACCACGATTTACCTCTCGCATGGTGTGGGAACCCCGACTTCAATTTGCTTGCCGTCTTGGCAGTGGCTGCATTGTGTCTCCCGTGCTGACCAGCATTGGGGAAAGGTGCCGCGCACAAGCTGTGGTTTTTGAATATGAGTGCTGAGTATTTCGGCTAGTGTCAGGGACCCACAAATGGGAAAACATCAGAGAGTGGACGAATTGAACACAAATTGGATAAAAAAAAGAAGCTCGGGTTGTCTAAGGTTTTCACTTATAGAGCCACTTGAAACGAGATGAAATGCCTTCCCGAGTTGCCGGTCGAGTATCCAAGGACAGGTGTAAGCCACGGCGATCGCATAAGCCCGAGCCCCCGGAAGGGATGGTCGATGGGCTCATGGGGCTCGCTGGACCGTCCTGAGAAGAAGCTCTACCAGACTGGTGTGGCTGTGGTGTGGCTGTGACGGGGTGTTCTCAGTCACAGGCTTCGTGCATCAAGGACGATGGGATGAACCACAGCCCACGTATCAACTGGAGACCGGAGAACTGGGTGTAAGGTTGCTGACGCATGGCATGCCTTGGCGAATCCAATTTTCCCACACAAAAAGCCTTTTCCCATGGCGGACAGCATTGCTCACAGGATTTTGAAGTGGGTTGAAGTGGAGCGGATTTTTGGGATTCAATCTCGGGGTGATGATGAGCTGCCAGGACAACTGCATTCCAATTCTTGTAGGGCTTTCGAGCGAAATAACACTGTGACGTCCTCTTCTTTGACCAATGGCATCGAAGTCGATGCCCCACGCCTCAAAGTCCCACCACCAAAAAGGCCAGCACGAAATGGCCATTGAACAGCTGCACTTGGTGAAGCCCAATGAAACACCGGGTGAGGTGACAGTGAGAGTAAGTCCGATGCGCATGGAACGAAAAAACTCTGCGTAATGGTACGCATGGGACGACAAAACTAGTAGTGTTATATAGTATTGCATTTACACTTGCACCTCCTTGAAACACTCACGGAATAAGCTGGAAAACCACCTGTTTGGTCTTCAGAAAATGGTTCTCCTTTCGGGGCCATGCCATCCATGTAACCATGGTGGCCACCACAGTCACTTCTGCCGGACTCATGAGCCAATTGGGATTCCACACCGATGAGCGGCGCCGTCTCCATCGTAGAGGCGTTGATACAACGCCTCCAGCTCTTGCCTCGGGCACCAGGAATCTGCCGGTGTTCTGGCGGGGTGGACGACAAATGGATCAGTTTGGCAAATATAGGACCCATGCCTTCCTTGGGTCAGGCCATCGGCCTGGAAACAGAACCTATAGACTATAGATGTTAGACGAATGAACAAGTGAAGATACAGCGATAGTCCTTTCTGTCAAGAGGTTTCAGTTCATGTGCGGTGATGTGACCTGTCGCAGTGTTCTTTGATAGCGGCGACCACGTGCATCCGGGAGTAGATTTATCTTGGAAATGATATGGTGATACATGGTGTAGTGTAACTTGTAGTGTAGTGTATAATGTTCCAACAACTTGCTGCCTAATTAGTCTATACTTAGACTGGGAATGGTCAAATCTGAAGCAATCGGAATGATGCGTGGCACGACGTCAAACCAACGACTTGACTTGCCTTAAAATTCTTTCCCCACATCCATCAAACCCCGTTCCTTGGTTCTTGGCTTTAACTTCGACAGGATTCAGGTCGGTTACATCGTGAAAAACCAAGATGCCGGAGTTGCGCGGCCTCCCGGCACTTCGTATCATACTGCTTGGCCAGCCACTGCTTCCTTGGCCCCCACCCCAGTCCACCAAACCCAAAAAGCGGGGGTCGGTGCTGCGTCTCGGGGATAGTCCACAGGGACGCTGGCGTCTGGAGGTTGAAGCCTCACCCCACAGATCAGCGTGGTTGATTATGGTCTGTATGGCCTACTATATACAAAATATAAATATATGATGCTCCTCTGCTTCTCTGAAGTACCAGTGAGATTGAGATACAGTGATACAACATGATCAAATTGAAAAGTGTTCTGTTCCTACCTATCGCAGGCGGCTGGCCAAGCCACTCGTGTCACAAGCTTGCTTGGTCGAGCGGCTCATGCCTCTCACTGTCCACCAGCGCCATGAAGCGACCCAGTTCATCATGAGGAGGATCCCCTGTCGCAGCACACTTCTAGGGTCCGGCTCCGAGAGCTGGCTCGGGAAGAGGAACCCAAGATTCCAACACATCACCCTGGAAGTGGGTGGCACATGGCACCACCCGTTCCCCCCAAAAAAACGACAACCGTATACCACGGGATCCCAGGCTCACGAGGCATCCGTTCCGAGTTCCGTTCCAACCGTCTTCGCGTGAGTCGCACGTCCCTTCGAGGTCAGCGCCGGGTCCGGCCCATCCAGGATGAAAGGGCCGAAGATCGCCGAAGGGAGAGGAGATGTATTGAATAGATAGCAGGATCTGAAAAATGCAAATCACTGGCAACTGGAAGCATGTCTTGCACTAAATCTCAGACTGTTAAGATCTGCACTCAGTCAACACTTCTGGTATCTTCTTGCAAGCTATCAGGGATGCTGGTGGTTGGCCACGCATCCACGGCACACACAGCCACCCACCACGGTAAGGGACGCCAGGCCTCGGGGGTGATGGCCAGCGCTGGCTCCGCTGCCCATCCGGACCTGCAGACCGGTCTTCGCCACGGCGTCAGCTCTGGGAGGCGGTTCGACCACGTGCAGTCGTGGTCGGGCCCATCTGTCTCTAGGATTTCATGGTCTCTTCTCCAATCCTCTCCACCCGCCCCAAGATCCAAGAAGGGGCGTGTCGGGGGGTGCCCTTTCTTGCCCCGCGACGGCCTTCAAACAAAGCGCACAAGGGCACCAACAATAATGTGGCTTAAGGGCGTTTCTTCATGTTTCTTCGACTCTCTGCATCCTCTGTAATTCACAGTGTCTCTCCATACCTGCGTCGACAATTCATCTTAAGCAGCAGCGGCTCCCAAGATTCAGTTATTTAAATGCTCGAAGATGGACCTGCCGTGTTTTGATGTGTTTTGATTTGTCAAGCGTCGTATCATTGGATGCCTTTTTTTGCCCGACACGGCCTTCAAACCAAGCGCAAAAGAGCAAAACTCCTGTTTAAAGGTCTTTTCCGGGGGAACTTGGTGTGGTAGAACCCACTCTTTCATTCAGGTGTTTCTTTTTGCTCCCGGCCTTTTACACAGCTTCACCAACTTCCGCGTCCAACAACACAATGTTACGCTGTTTACCATGCTTTGGCCTCTTTCCCGCGTGGTTCGACTCAACTACTTGAACCGACACAATTGCCAAAGCACTCTAGAAAACACCACCATGGCCAATTAATGATCCAAAACATGTTCATCGAAACTGGTGTGGCATCAGGCGCATCACAAAGGCGGTCGAAACGGATATCATTTGACCACGCAACTTGGGCCGCTCTCCCCCAGCAGTCTCTGGGTTCACCCTTGAGATTGAGGAAAAACATCGCCGTGAGATCGGATCGGCGATGTTAATGATTACACATGAAGGATTTCTGCGTACCTTTGATTGTGGATAGTAAGACATCGTTCAGCAGGCCTGTAGCTACTGGTGGAGGAAAGATCAGGCCATACAGCTCGCCAGAGGATTGCAAAGCATGGTTCCAGAGCGGGCTGTCGAAGTTCCAGTGTCTCGCTTCACAGCTGCTTGGCGCTTCCTTAAATTTCTGTCAGCCATGTCTATGCAAGCCGGTACATGTTCGAAGGTCGAAGAAGTTCTTCCAAAGTGTTGGCTTTCCCTCTGTGTGTGTGTGTGTCTCTCTCTATCTCTCTCTTTCTTGCCTGTTCACTTTGAGCAGAAATGGCTGCCAAATTGGAGAGCCGAATCTGCCCATGAAGACAGAAGAACCCTCTGCTGCATGAGGCGTCCCAGGCGCGCTCAGTACAGAGAAGAACAAGAATGCCCTGCCCCAGCATGAGATCTCTGACCTTCAACCCTCACCAGAACCTGAAACATCTTGAAGCAACCAACTGGCCGAGAGCGGTATGACTTGACCCTAACGCGAAAATGACTGGGAGGAAAAGAAACGAAGAGCCACTCAAAAGTTATATATACTGTGTATATAGAATATCATAATTTAATTATATATATATATATATGTATGTATGTATATGTGTGTGTATTATAAATCATAATATATTACGTATAAGAAACGTCTTAAAACCCGAAACGGGGGGACACCGCACCTTGCACCTCGCCGCGGCCCAAGATGCCCTCGGCGGAGGGGCTTCAGGGGCACCTCCGCAGGCCTCTGGGCGGAAGAGCTGGAGAGGTCGGTTGCACCGATTGGGAGTGAAGCTGGGGGAGTGAATCCGGTGAACAAGCGCCTCAGCCCCTCTTTCGAGCCCACTGGTCTTCCATATAAGCGCCTTTAAGGCACTGCTATGAATGAAGTCTCTCTGCCCAGGCAGGATGTGAAAAGATGGTGAGAGCACCAAATACACATGTCAGCCTCGTTTCAAGCTGCTAGCATGGAGCTCCCAAATTTTGGATGGAACAAGGGAGGCGTTCCTTAAAGCCTCCCGCTTAGCCATTCAGTTGCCATGCACTATAGCAGAGCCCTAGCTCTGCTTGCCCTTCACGCTTTTGTCAACCAAAGGTGCAGAAATGTATGCCTTGCCACGCTTGCAGAACTCCAAATCCAGAAAAGTCACTGAAAACAGGCATGAACATCCAAGAAAATCCCATGAACTCATGAAGATCAACATCAATCCTCATGGGTTTGGCCGAGGTGCAACGGCCATCAAGGCAATGCCAAAGCAGGAGAAGGCTTGAAAGAAGCTCAAATCTCGTCCCTCACAGAGCTGAGCGAGATAGCTAAAAACAAGCCCAAAAGCATAGGCCACGTACCTCAAGTCGCAGATCCACAGGCAGGGGTATGTAAACTACCTCTAGGGTGGCGTCCGACCTGGGAACCATAACCATACTGCAAATCATGTTGAACGGCTTTCGGTCCCCCTTTCGCTCCGCCCCGGACGGCGTTCGGTCCGCGTCCAGGAGACTTGGCGACGGAGGTGAGGCGTCGCATCTGGTCGGCGACCAGGAAGTTGTTGAGGATCAAACAGGCGGCTAAAAGCCACGTATTGCCTCGGCTTTTTCACGTGAGCTTCGTACTTCCCGAAAAAACAAAGAAAAATCCTATGGAGACCTCACTTTTGGGCCAAGTGATGCCAACGGCTTCCTCTAATCACATGGGTGCTTTTTAGGAACAAAACAGGTTTCAGGCAAAGCTTATGCCATGGCCAAGTGAGTTGCAGTCCCAGCCTCCAAAGAAGGGCATCCTGCAATCAGCGAAATGATTGAACTTTCCCATGTTTCAAGTTTCAAGCTCGAATGACGTGTGCAATTCGCACAGGAGTCAGTTGAGTCAGTTGACTGATGTGTGAATGTACCTTCCCTTCTCCCGCCTCCAATCACCAGGGAGGACTCCTACGGGCAAATGTCCAAAGACCTCTCCGTCCCAACGGTTGGAGAGGATCTTGCCGCTCACAGCGCCTTGTGCCCAAGCCACTCCTAAGGCCCCCAACATTGTGGCGGACTTGAAATGCACCTGGGTCACCCACAAAGGCACCTCTTCAGCATCCCGTTGCAAGAAGTACTCCGCATGCACCGCTCCACCACAGCTGATCAAGCTCTTGCCCAAGATCAAGGGCAGCGCGACCAGCAGCTGTTCCGGTGATGCAGCGATCCAGGAGCCTTCGTGCCCGACCTGCCCAGCGGCCATGGTGTCGCCCAAATCATGCACCACATGCCCAACACAAAGGAAGGAGATCACCAACAGCATGAGCCACTGCAGCGCGGATTGGTTCCGCCCCAGCAGAATCCAACGCAGCAGGGCACAAAGAGGTAACCTCAGTTGCGCCGCCACCAGCAGGGTGGTACCTGACACGTTCCGGGCTGCAGCCAAGTCCATCAAATCACCCAAAGCATACGTGGCGCCCACAGGCAAAACACGTCGGATGGATGACCAGTTGAAGAGGAGCCTCAGGAAACAGGGAACACAGGCCAAGCACTAGGGCCACTAGGGCAACTTGGATGCTTCAACATCAGCTCAGCGAACCTCCACCATATGCAGGCATTCCCCCCCAAAGTCAGTTTTTGGTGTTTTGGTTCCGCCTGCTCTTAATGCTACCAGCTGGATGCTACCATCCATGTGGGCGACCATCGGACCGGCCACACGCTCCGATCGAACCTCGCCTCACGGAACGCCGAACCGGGAGCATGCAAAAGGTCGCCAAGACCCCCAGCGCCACCGTGACCAGAGCCTCCAAGAACACCACGGTGAAGGGCTCGTAGACGTAATGCCCTCCGGTCTTCGGACGGCGCTGCTTGGCGCGGGACAACGGCGCCTTTTTTTGGACCTTTTTGGGCGGGCCCCAAGCGCTTTTGTTCGAGGAATACGCCAAGGCTACCGTTTGTTCTCCACCCACGGCCTTGAGGTGATTCAATCAACCCACGATCCACGTCAAAACGATGTGCTCGGCCATGCTTGTGACAAGTCTTGTCTTTTCCATTCTTTTCCAGCTTTCTTGGCCGTTGTTAGCCTTAAGAACCGACATCCCCGAAAAACACCTCGGACCTGTCGTGTTGTAGCGGTCCACACCCTATCTCATCCCCTTTACTGGTTGCACCCGGATTGAACCCGGGTCCAACGCATCTTTCGGGCCGCGTCATAGCCACGGTCCAGCCACCTCGGTCCAACCCATACCCGGACCGCCTGGCACCTCGGACCGCCTCCCGGCCTCGGCAGTGTTTGAACTTCGTCTCGCAGACCTGGCAACTGGCACCCGAGGCGATGGCGTCGTGACACGCCAAGGAGTCGAAGAAGGGCTTCGTGAGGCTTCCTGCCGAAGGCGACGCGGAGGACACGTCGTTGGAGAAAAAACACCGCGTAAACATGGGCTGCGGAGGGAGAGGGAGTGAGAGGGAGAGGAAAAGGGAGAGAGAGAGAGGGCTTAAGGTTTTAGGAGAGGAATCAGCCATGGGCTGCGATGGGATGTGGTCTGTTGTTGGACACTAGTTTGATCTTGAGATAAGGTTCTTAATTTCTTAGGATCGTTTTCAAGCTTAGTGTTGAAGTGTTTGGCTTGGCCGAGCCCAAAATGCCGATCTTTCGTGCTGGATGACCGTGGGCTGTACTTTGGCTGAAGCTTCAAGCCCAGGCTTCCCCGCACCCCCTCGTGCCGTGCCTCCCTTCAAGTTCGGCAACAAAGCGCTCATGCCGGCCACCACAAGCACTCGGGACACCAGCTCTGCTCCCTCAAATGCCATCATCGTCGCACGAAAAGAGCCACCGACGGCGCGCGCTTCTATCTACATGGAGTGTCAACCACCAATGGTCAAAGTTTGGAAAGGATTCAGCGAGTCTCAGTGGCGAAGTCGGATTACGCTGATGCTCAAGTCTGATCTTCTTGCCTGGTGCAAATATCAAAAATGACGTCCCGCACACATCTGGCTGAATACAAAGTTGGAATCGGTTCATGTTGGTCAGCTCCGAAGTCACTTCCTTATTATGTAACTGGGTGAGGTCTGCGTTTCTTTCATGGAAGACCAGTTGTCTGAAGACCCCTGCTTGGGCTCTGAAGGGCTGCGGGGCGAGAACCATGACCACACCATCCATCACTGCGCGACCTGATCCTCAACGGCAATTGTTGCTCGACAGGCAAAACACGCGACCCTCAAAAGAAACTTACACTGATCACCCTCGCACGCTCACCAGCCCCACATGCAGCTGGAAGATCCCAAGAATCTCCATGAAACCCGATGTGGCTAGCCGAAGCCAGCCAACATGAAAATCCAGAGAATCCTCCCCTGACCGACCACGTTTATCGACTCAGGATGGCCAATCCCATGTGCTTCCGCACCCCGTCCGGATGCCGGCGCCGGACGCTGGGTGAGCTGGCTGCTGCACCTACAACTTTGGCCCAACAGGCATCCACAGCCAACAGGAGCGAATGTGGATGCCAGTCTGCTGAGTGTCTAATGAGTGGCTCTGGTATTCTAGCCATACTTGGTGGTGGAACTTGGCTGCAAAGATTCATTCCACTTGGCCTATTGAGGTATAGCAGCTAGCAAATCATCGCAGCGCACTGTTTGACGCCTTTTTTGAAGCATCTCACGGCATCTCTCTGTGGAATCTTTGAGACTCCTTCCAACTGCTAGCAGATTTCGTCCAGGAGGGCGGTGGCAGGAAGCTCTCAGAAGTGAAGGCCTCACTTGGCCCTCAACTTCGCCACCACGCTCTTCTCCAAGCACCTACCCTCCGTGTCTTGCGCAGGCCTGTAGTTGCTGTGCAGGGCGCAGGTCGAGCCTTGCCCCAGTTGACGCCCGTGACACCCTGGACAGCGCGCAGTTGGAGGTGGTCTCCCTCCATGACCGGCGCGCCCAACGGCGGCAGAGCGGAGTTCGCGAGCCACTCGGGGCACGGCGCGATGCTGCGCGGCTTGGAACATGGAGTTCGCTCCTCAAGCCTCAAGATTCCTCGGTGCTCAGCAAATGCCAGCCGCTCCTCGAGCGGTGCTGACCTGGCCACACCCAACAGGGAAAAAAGAGAGAGAGAGAGAAGGACACTCTCTCCCTCTCCCTCTCCCTCTCCCTCTCCCTCTCCCTCTC